CCCGTGGTGCTGAGCTCCCATTCCCGGCATTCTTAAACAGGTGGCTCCCCTGTGAAGAGCAGTTCAGTGGAGGTAGCCACTCTTTGGGATGTGTGCTAAGAGGAGGATTTGGCCCTAAAAGGCTATTCTGAGAAGCAACCCTTTTTTGAAACATATGTTCTACCAGTAATATTTACAAGAATGTGCCTCATTGGCAGTGTTCCCTCTAATTTTTTTCCATTCGTGTGCAGAATAAATTTTGTTATGTGCACTGAGACATATGTGGATGTGCACCACCAGTAGAGAACACATGCTGTGGGCATTATGGGTGCTCTGCTGAGCAGCATTTGAATCTCTCCTGGGTAGCCACCCAAGTGCTTAGCTTACAGGGAACACTGTTCATTGGTAAGAAACTGGAAGACTTAGACCTGATGAAGCATGGGCCAGTGGACCACTAGACATGAGTCAGAAAACCTGGGCTGCTTTGTCACTTCCCCGCTCTGTGCCTCAGTTTCCCCATCAAGGCTAGTAACGCTGACCTTTGTAAATCACTTTGAGATCTATGGGTGAAAAGTGCTATACAATGAATAATCTCCAGTGCAAAATGTGGTTCACACAAGCATGAAGCTCTCTGGAATGTCAGATGTTCTAATAAAGAACTACCTGAAGTCAGCTAAATTGTATATTCTTGTGGCAGTAAATACTTTTTATGATAAATGTGTTTTGGGTTTTTTTAAACGGTTGTTGTTTTGTTTCTTTCCTGCAGATGTGGGAGAAGGCAATCCAGCTAAGCAAAGAGTTGGCTGACATGTATGAGAACAAAGTCTTTGATTATGAGGGGCTAAGTAATCTTTTGGTAAGGACCCTTTTACTATCTTGGATGGCTGCATGTTTAAGTGGATGTTGCTGAGTAGTGCAGGCCCAGCATACCGTTTATTTGTATTTTGACGCCATTTTTAAATCCCCCTTAGTGCGGACTCCGTGCCCGCAGCTACACACGGCACGGAGTAGGTAGTTCAAATTAGGCTCTCTAATTCGAACTACCGGTACACCTCGTTCCACAAGGAGTAACGGTAGTTCGAATTAGAGAGCCTAATTCGAACTACCTACTCTGTGCCGCATGTAGCCGTGGACACGGAGTCCGCACTAAGGGGGATTTAAAAATGGCGGCACCCGGCAAGATGCAAATGAAGCCCGGGATATTTAAATCCCGGGCTTCATTTGCAACTTCGAATGCCTACATTAGCCACCCTAGTTCGATCTAGGGTGGCTAATGTAGACATACCCTATGTCAGTGAAGTCCAAAAGGGAGCTAGCACAGAATAAACAAACATTAAATTGATATTTTTTGCATAAGTGGTATTTCAAAGATGCATTACTGACAGCACTGGGTGAGAAAATGGCTTTGTAAATACGCTTGACAATGTCTCTGTGAACTCTGAAATGAACACCTCAGGGATTTCTTTTTCTTTTTTTTTCCCCTCAGAAAAAACGTGCCACATTTTATGAGAATATTATGAAGGCGATGAGACCTCAGCCCGAGTATTTTGCTGTTGGGTATTATGGGATGGGTTTCCCCTCATTCCTCCGGGTAAGAATCCTGCACATGCTAAGACGTTACAGGGATGATTTCTATGGGGAACGCTAGAAGTGAGATTTTCACAGCGTTCTAGGGGATTTTGATGCCAAGTCCCTATGAATCTGAAGGGCAATTGGGTATCTAAATTGCATAAGTAGCATGAAAATCTCACCCGAAATGGAAAGGGCTTGAATTCTCAGTTACAGTCAGGTCCCCATGGTTCATAAAGTCGCCCCCGCACCCCCAAAACAGCCCTCTCCTCCCAGCTCCCTATGCTGACCTGGGCATGGCCATTAAAGATGGTGAATTAAAGATGGCGTCAGCTGGCCTCTAAATGCGTTTTCTTAAAGGGGTAGAGGTTGTTGGGGGGTTTTTTTGTGGTTTTTTTTTTTTTGCTCAACATCTTTGCCCTGGCTCTTGGGGTTGGATCCACTGATATCTTGTCTCTTTGCCCAGAATGGGTTGTTTTAGAGGGACTCTTTCTCATGTTTCTATGCGCTCTACAGTCTCTTGTCAGCTTAGGCAAGTGATCTTCATTGTAAGTGTGTTTTCTTTCCGGTAAATAATTGACCCCATGTGTCTCCAGGCTGAATCACTCAGTCTAATCCTTCATGTTAGAAAGTTAGTAAAACTCTGTCCCACCCAGATGCACTGGAATGCAAAGACGCTTCCTCTTCAAGGTTGCTTTAGTGCTGGATCCACACTGGGTCCCCTGGTAAAGCCAGGCAGCGTGAGTCAGCCAGTTGATGTGCAGGCAAATGTTCCAGCCAGTGTATTCTAAGAAGGGAAGGATAATGGGTTTACATTTCACATGGTGAGGCTTTTTAAGCTATTTGCCCTAAGCAAATTGATTAATAGGTGAATGCAGCAGTCACCAAATCTGACCATCTAGTCTGACCACATGCATAATACAGGCCAGAGACCTGCACCCACTAATCGCTCCATCACACACGGTCTAGCAGACAAAGTGCTACCCAAAAATTCAGGTAACCGTGGTTCCGTTTCTGACTCCGCTACGGACTTCCAGCATACACGTAGTCAAGTCACATCATTTTACCCTGTGCTCCGGTTTTCCATTAGCAAATTGAGGATGATGCTTCAGAAGGTAGCTGACAGGAAAAAGTCCCTTCATGCTTCTGAGACACTCGTACTCCAGCCATGAGTGCTAGATAAAAGCCTTGGCATATGCACAGTGGGAACAAGCAATAGCAGAGAGGAAGCATGGAGAGGAAGTGGACTGAGCTTTGAAGTCTGCAAGTACAAACCAGTTCACAAGTGCAAACTTGCCACAGCTGTGACCTTTTGCAGCTATGCTGGCGGGTCACAAAATGGTCACAGAGCCGGCTTGATTGCTCTCATTTCACACACCAAACACTAACACAGACTAAGTGTTCCCTGTAAGCTGAGTGTTTCGGTGGCTGCTCAGGGGAGATTCAAGTGCCTGATTAGCAGAGTGCCCAGAGCCCAGTAGTGCACATTCACACATGTCTTGGTGCATGTGGAAAAATTTATTCTGCCCATGGATGGAAAAAGCACCTTGGCACAAAATTTAAACCACCCAGATTGCACCCTGTATGTGTGATGTATCAGTCACGTCTAATTCTCATTTCCTCCCGCTACCCACAGAATAAAATCTTTATCTACCGTGGCAAGGAGTATGAACGGAGAGAAGACTTCAACTTGAAATTGCTGACCCAGTTTCCAAACGCTGAGAAGATGACCAGCACTGCCCCTCCAGGAGAGGAGATCAAGTCTTCCCCTAAACAGTGTATCTTTTAGCTGTAGTTTGGTCTGACACATTCTAGCTCTCCTTCCTCTGCCTGAGGGAGCAGAATCTGTTACGCTGGTACTTTTTCACACAGCATGTAATTCAGCTGCGGAACTCATTGCCACAGTATACCTTTGAGGCTAAGAACATCACAGAATTCAAAGAGGGATCAGCCAACTATGTGGATCATGGGGCTATCTAATAATTACAATGCTAAACAAACAAATAAATAGGGATCTAAAACCTCCTGCTACTGAGTTTAAACCAATCTGTTAGGAGGATACTTCTGGGGGGGGTCAGATTATCCCCCACCTGCCCACAGTGGAGGAACACCTTCTTGACAAGTGGTGGTGGCCACCTTTGGAGACAAAACACTGGGCTAAATGGACCATAGCTCTGATCCATTCTGACGTAGAAGGGGTGAAAATGGGATACAAAAAGGTGCTGTGTCTCATCTCTTCTGGACAGTGCTGTGTATTGGCAGTCATGAGGAGTCTTGTTATTTCTTCCTAGAAACTGATTCTTTTTAAAATTTAATTTTTTGTAATCATTGACAGTACTGATGAAAGGGGCCAGGTTGAATGATTGATTGATTTCTGATTGATCGATTGATTGATTTCTGATTATACGGGAATAACTCACTCAACAACAGCAGCTGATGAGACAGAGCAGAGAAACCGGCTCATGACTTCTCTTCACTTAACAATAAGGGTGATTAACAAATGCCCAAGGGGAGTGATAGTCTCTTGGTGTCTTCAAGACCCACATGCCTTTCAGGACACACATTATTGGGCTCAGCTCGGTGAAAGTTTCTGGCCTTCGTCAGACAGGAGGTCAGACTAATACTTCCGTCTGTCCTTAAAAATCTGTGAATTTCTCTACAGCAAAGACACCGCTCAGGCAGTAATTCCTTGTGCACATCAACCCAGCCAAGTGTCCACTCAGAAGAATGCATTCAAGACCGAACTGGGTCTGAAAATTGCCTCCTTCGTTTCTGCTGTTTCAGCGGCTTCCTTTGCATCTGTTTGTGTTTGCACCTGCCTTTCGGCCAGGGGTGGGCCTGAACTACACAAAGTGGGTGCCGTTGTGAGTTCCTCCCAAAGTTCAGGGCTGTTTGGATGCAGGGCTTTGGCTTGGCCCATTCTGCGAAGGAGCAGCTGCATCGTTTGGATCTGGTTCAGGTCTGTTTCTGGCTCTTACTGAACCCTTTTGAAAGGACAGGCCGAACTCGTGTTCCAAGCCCACGGTCACCACAGAGAGGTTGATGATTCTGTGGGTAGATCCAGGTCAAGCTTTTTGTTTCTTATAGTTAAAGTCTGGTTTCTTTCTGACCCTTTAACATTCTTACCCGAAGCCGAATCCTCGCTCGCTCTGTAGTAAATTAACATCTTGCCCTTCTCTAGACTTATAGAATCACAGAATCCTAGGGCTGGAAGAGACCTCAGGAGGTCACCGAGTCCAACCCCCTGCCCAAGGCAGGACCAACCCCAACTAAATCATCCCAGCCAGGGCTTTGTCAATCCAGGACTTTAACACCTCTAGGGATGGAGATACCACCCCCTCCGTAGGTAACCCATCCCAGTGCTTCCCCGCCCTCCTAGTAAAATAGTTTTTCCTAATATCCAACCTAGACCTCCTCACTGTCACTTGAGACCATTGCTCCATAAGGCTGAATCATTCCAGCCCTATGATTCCTTGTTCTACCATCTGTCACCATTGAGAGCCTCTCTCCATCTTCTCTGGAACGTCCCTTCAGGGAGTTGAAGGCTGCTATCAAATCCCCCCTCACTCTTCTCTTCTGTAGACTAAATAAGGCCAAAACCCTCAGCCTCTCCTCATAGGTCAAGTTCTCCAGCCCCCTAATCATTTTGGTTGCCCTCTACTGGACCCTCTCCAATGCGTCCACATCTTTTCTATAGTGGAGGGCCTATATTGGATGCAATACTCCAGTTGTGGCCTCACCAGTGCCAAATAAAGGGGAATAATCACTTATCTAGGTCTGCTGGCAATGCTCCTCCAAATGCACCCTAAGATGCCGTTAGCCTTCTTGGCTACAAGGGCACCCTGTTGACTCATATCCCGATTCTCATCCACTGTAAACCCTACTCCTTTTCAGCCGAACTGCTGCTTAGCCAGTCGGTCCCCAGCCTGTAACAATGCTTGGGATTCTTCTGTCCCAAGTGCAGGACTCTTCATTTGTCGCTGTTGAACCTCATCAGATTTCTTTTGGCCCAATCCTCCAATTTGTCTAGATCATTCTGGACTCTATCCCTGCCCTCCAGCGTATCTACCTCTCCCCCTAACTTCGTGTCATCTGCAAACTTGCTGAGGGTGCAACCAATCCCCTCATCCAGGTCATTACTAAAGATGTTGAACAAAAACTATGCGTCGCTATTATTTATTTAATCTCTATCTTAACTCCCAGGGCAAAAACTGGGGTTGGCAACACCTCTTCATGGATTAAAAACCAGCCTACATTGGTTAGGTCGCTTTATCAAAGCTGAGAGCTTGGAGGTGGTTCCTAACTGTTCAGTGTACTACAAGATTGTGAGGTCAGTTTGGTACCTTCCACCCCTTCCCTCCAAACACAGCTCTGTGGAGTGGGAACTACACGCCTGTACTCGCAGCGTACACCCACACCTCCGCTCAGAGCGAGCCTACCGGCCCTGTTAGACAGTCTCGTGTTTGCAGGGCTCTAGGTACGATGCTAAAAATAACGGTGTGGGAGTTGCAGCTTGGGATGGAGAGGCCCAGGGGGTTGGGTGGGCTTAAAAGTCTTAATTATTATCAATGATCACTGAAGTGCTGCCTCTCACGTCTGTCTACCCATACTGGGAGGCTCACTCCCAGGCAAAATGTAGACACATTCTCTACCTTCAAAGCACATGTCTGTAACACTGGCTCAAGGGAAACTCCATTAGCTGGCAGTAGTAATAGAAGATCCGTTGTGCTCTTTATGGGTATGTCTAGACTACATGGCTCTGTTGCCAGAGCCATGTAGATTAGTTTACTAGACATACCCAAATGAAGCGGCGGTTTAAATAATCGCTGCTTCATTTAAATTAAAATGGCTGCCGCGCTGAGCTGATCAGCTGTTTGTTGGCTCAGCGCGCTAGTCTGGACACTCCGCAGTCGACATCAAAGGCATTTGTCGACCGCCCTGGTAAACCTCATCCCACGAGGCATAACGGGCAGTCGACAGATGCCTTTGATGTTGACCGCGGAGCGTCCAGACTAGCGCGTTGAACCGATAAACAGCTGATCGGCTCAGCGCGGCAGCCATTTTAATTTAAATGAAGCGGCGATTATTTAAATCGCCGCTTCATTTGGGTATGTCTAGTAAACTAATCTACATGGCTCTGACGACAGAGCTATGTAGTCTAGACATACTCTATGAGCCAATGCTTCGAGGGTGACAGACATGCACACACGTTACACTGGGGTTAAGAACATAAGAACAGCCATACTAGGTCAGACCAAAGGTCCATCTAGCCCAGTATCCTGTCTTCCCACAGCGGCCAATGCCAGGTGCCCCAGAGGGAATGAACAGAACAGGAAATCATCAAATGATCCATCCCCTACTGCCCATTCCCAGCTTCTGAGAAACAAAGGCTAGGGACACCGCCTGTCCATCCTGGCTAATAGCCATCGGTGGACCTATCCTCCATGAATTCATCTAGCTCTCTTTTGAACCCTGTTATAGTCTTGGCCTTCACAACATCCTCTGGCAAGGAGTTCCACAGGTTAACTGTGCATTATGCAAAGAAAAACTTCCTTTTATTTTAAATCTGCTACCTATTCATTTCATTTGGTGACCCCTAGTTCTTTTAATATGAGCGCAAGCAAATAACTTTTCTTTATTTACTGTCTCCACACCAGACATGATTTTATAGACCTCTGTCATATCCCTGCTTAGTGGTCTCTTTTCCAAGCTGTAAAGTCCCAGTCTTATTAATCTCACCTCCTATGGCAGCCATTCCAAACCCCTCATCATTTGTTACCTTTTTTTCCTGAACTTTTTCCCCCCAATGCCAAGATACCTTTTTTGGGGATGAGGCAACCACATCTGCACCCAGGTTTCAAGATATGGGCCTACCATAGATTTATAGAGAGGCAATAAGATATTCTCTGTCTTACTAAGATATTGTCTGTCTGGGTTTTGCTAAGGAATCGTGCATTCTTTCAATGTCCTGACAAATAGTGCAGGGGGAAAGCGGAGAGTGTCAGATTTCTGAACAGAAGAAAATGAGGATAGTCCCTTCCTTTTATCCTCCCATCAGGGATCCTGGAGTTGTCCGTCCTTAACAGGAACCGCTCAGATGTGCAGTGCTTTATAGTGAAGCCTGTGATGAACCTGCCACCCAACTATAAAGACAAGCCTGTTCCGGAGCAGATTTTAAAGTAACTTCCTTTCCTTTCCTTGTTCTCTCTTAGGAAAGCCAAGGGGGTTAACAAGAGCAGCATTCAGCCCACCTGAGCTGTGTTTTTCCTAGACATACACGTGGGAACCTTGAAAAGCCACAATTGCCACTGATTATGATGTCAGAATGTTTCCCTTTTACAGAATAGGCATGTGGGGAGAAGACGACTCTTGTTTTAAACAAAGTTCAAGTGACTTGACCAAGGTTACACAGCTGAATTGTTGTAGCAAGGCGAGGTCTTGGTCTCCTACAGGAACTCAGTGGTACTCAATGGTGTTCATCCTGCAGGATGAGTGGGGACTCCAAAGAACCGAGATTATTATATAGTTGTGATACAACATAGGTGTGGGGCGGTTCCTGCCCCCACAGGCCAGAAAATTGTGTTTACAAACATGTAAGAGCCCATGTTTTAAATAGAGATGTAAGAGTTTAATCAGTTGATCAAAAAGCTGATGCGTATTGGTTCCTGTTACCATTGAAACTCTGCTAGGGAGCCAGTGGGGGCTGGGAGCCAGCAAGGGCTGATTTAACCGTGCAACCAGTGGCATTTCTATCGGTTAATATTTTTTAACATTTTTTTTTTTTACATTTTTAAACCTGATAGGCACAGGACATCCTGATCTGACCAGTGGCATTTCTATCGGTTAATATTCTTTAACATTTTTTTTTTTTTTACATTTTTAAACCTGTTAGGCACAGGACATCCTGATCTTCCACCCCCACCTTGGCAGCAGGGCCCACCTGGTGGGGAGAGCTGCTATCTAATCTCCCAGTCCAGAAGTGGCATTGCAGGGCAGAGTAAAGGGTATTCATGACTTGATCTTCATCTCCCCTCGGCTTAAGAGAAGGGCAGAACATGGTTTTCTGCAGCCTACAGAGGGGAAATAAATTGTTAGACAATGTTGGGGCCACAACTGAGGTCTTGGTCTCCTATAGGAACTCATATGGTACTCAGTGACATTCATCTTGGAGGATAAGTTGTCTAGACTACAGAGTTTTATCGACAAAAGTGGACTTTTGTTGACAAAACTATACCTGTGTCTACACTACTGCCGCGATCTGTCAACAAAGCCTCTGTTGAAAAAAGCCTGTAGTCTAGACATACCCCAAAGCACCAAGATTATTATATAGTTGAGAAACAACATAGGTGTGGAAAAGAACAAAAAGAGGAAGAGAAAACCCACTGTTGACTGTGTCCTTCCTTAGCTACTACAGAGCCAATGAGGTGCAGCAGTTCACATATTCCCGGCCATTCAGGAAAGGAGAAAAAGATCCAGAGAACGAATTTGCGGTGAGTCCTTCACTTTCTGTTCAAAACGCCTCGATTCCCTCAAGCAGTGGAGGAACTTCTCTTTCGTGAGTCGCCTTTTTCTTCATTGCAAAGGTCCCTGTCACCTTGGGACCTTGCTGGGCTCCAAACAGCGATGTGAAATTCAACAGATCTAGATACGGCATCCCAGCAGTTGCCATGGGATTTTATTATTTAAATATGGGAAGAACCAAGAGTAGGGCCTGATATTCTGAACTGATCTGCAGCGGGGGTCCTGCTGCTTGGAATTCTCTCACCCAGTTGTCTAAGATGGGTCTTTCCAGCAGCGTCCCTGTGGCGTGCAACTGTGTGATGGGCTGGACTCTCTCCGGCATCAAACTCAGAAAGCATTTGTAACAACCACGGCTCTTCAGATTGACTCCAGCGATAGAAGTGGGAAATTCACTAGTTTATGGAGCCTGCGTGTTTGTATTAGGGATGTTAACTGTCGGTTATTTTACTAGTCGAATCGATAGGCACTTCTGCATTCCTCCTTTGAAATGTACAAAAGCTCCCATCGGGAATGCGGAACTCTGTGTGCAGCCCGGGACCAGCGGGAAGTCCTGCTGACTCCAGGCTGCAGGCAGGCGTGCCTGCTTTAAAATGTACAAGAGTCCCCAGCAGGGGCTTTTGTGCCTTTCGAAGCGGCAGCGAAGCACGGAGCCCGGGGTCAGCGGGGAACTGCACGCGGAAATGCCGCGCTGGAGCCCGGAATCAGCTGGGGGGTCCCCCACTGACCCTGGGTTCCATGTGCTCCAGTGCCACACAGTTGATCCCGGGCTCAGCTGTGCAGTTCTGCCCCTTTGAAGTACTCCCACTTCTCCCCCTTTGCTGCCTTTATCTGATCGAGACAGCAAGGGGAGGGAGGAATCGACTAGTCCTTAACATCCCTAGTTTGTGGCTGTCTTCATGGCTGCCAAGAAGAGCTCTTGCAGTGATGTCGTATCTATGCACAATGGAGCCCGCTGCCTATATGTGGTGTTTTCCCCTCCAGGGGCTGGTCCCCCTAGAGGATAACAACCTACTGTTGCTTACTTCATTAGCTTTAAGGGGAGGAAGCTGCTGAGAGGCCTGGGTTCGGCCTCCGTTGCCGACCTGTTGTGATTAAATCATGATTATCAGTCTAGCGAGGTGGAGGAGTCTGGTTAGCGGTGCTGAGCGCCTGGCCTTGAGCCCTACGACACGTGGGAGTTGAATCGCCGTGTTTTCCTTATAACTTTGCCTTTTCAATCCCCTCGGCAGACGATGTGGATCGAACGAACGACCTACACCACCGCCTATGTGTTCCCCGGCATCCTCAAGTGGTTTGAAGTCAAGCAGGTTACGACGGTGAGTCTTTTGAAGAGATGGATCCCAGTAAAGGGCTTTACGTTGCAACATTTGGGCAGCATTTGGGCTTTTGCCAGGCTGGAGCTGATCCGTGTTTGATCTGCTGACTCCAGCAATGGCTAATAACTCATGTTTCAGAGGACGGTGGCCCCCGCACCTCCTTCACTAATGCATCTGGCTGTTTGAACAGTGCAGCCGGGAACCCCACAAAAAATAAGTCTGGGGTTAATTGCACAGCGCTATGGCAACGCGCCTAGTTCCAAACCCATGGAGCAGCACAGCAAGGCCAGTTCACTCTGTGGACGCTTAAGTCCCATTGAACTTGTGGGGATTTAAGTAAGTGCCTTGAGTTGAGCACACGCTTAAGTTCTGTGCTGCATTTGTCCCAGTGTTCTGCCGCTTAGTGGCATGAGAGACTGACTTGCTTAAAGCTACAGTGACAGGGGCCCTGAGACGAGAACGAATGAATCGTGTGTATCACGTTTTGGGCTGTTTTTCAACATGCCTGTCGCTTCAGGGCTTCAGTGCGTGTTCTCACGCATTCCGTTCTCTGGCAGGTCAGCAGCTACAGAGGGCAGGGGAGAGGGTGCCGTTGTGGGGGGCTCCAGCTCTTTTGGGGCTCCGGGATTCTGGGCGGACTTGAGAGCACAAGGCCTTAACCCCTCCCCTCCCCCCCGACATACCCTGGCATTGATCCCACAGGGTGAGTTGGGGAGCTGCCACCTAATCTCCTCCAGCCATAGCGACGCACGCAGCCTGATTCTCATCGCCCTGCCTGGCAGGCGCATCCGAGCAGCAGGAAATGAGTCATTGAATGACTTATCTCTGCTCTCCTGCTTTGGGCAGGGGGCTGGACTCAGTGACCCCCTGATGTCTCTGCCAGCCCCATGATTCTATGATTCCCACCAGCCGTGGGGCCCACCTAGGAAGGTGCAGGGCTGGAGGGGCAGTGGTACTTGGCACCAATTGCCCATTCTGGCAGCAGAATCAGAGCAGGAAACCCCTCGGAATCCTTTGTTCTGCGTGGCTTCTCCCCAGGTTTTGGGTCGAGGCCCAGCCTGGCGCTCGGAGGTGCTAGAACTCCTGGGCAGGGTAGTGGGAGATTCTCAACCTTGCGTTCAAAAAGAGTCGGCGGGGGATTTCTCCATCTCCTCTTCGTTTCCGTGCAGGAGGAGATCAGCCCCTTGCAGAACGCCATCGAAACCATGGAGCTAACCAACGAGCGAATCAGCAACAGCGTCCAGCAGCACGCCTGGGACCGGAGCCTGCCTGTGCACCCCCTCTCCATGCTGCTGAACGGCATCGTGGACCCCGCCGTCATGGGGGGCTACACCAACTATGAAAAGGTCAGCTGGCCCCGTTTAGGGCTCAGCTCTCGTCCAGGGTGTTGACTTCACAATGGAAGGATGGTCTTGTGGGTAAAACAGTGAACCGGGCCTCTGGGTTCAATTTATAGCCATTACACAGATCTAGTCACTCTCAGCCAGATGTTTAAAGGTATTTAGGTGCCTAACGGGACTTCCAAAAGCACCTATGCACCTCGCAGCCATCAGTGGGTGCGAAGTAGCATTTAAAAATCTGTCCCTCAGCTCTCTCAGTGCCTAGTGTAAGATGCTGATGCTGTAATACTTCCCTTCTCTCTGGCTGGCCACTGTTCTGATCTGTTTCGTTTTTAAGAACAATGGTAAGATCAAAACAGAGGAAGGAGGGTCCAGTGGTTAAGGTGCTAGACTGGGAACTGAGAGAAATGGGCTCAGTTCCCTGGTCTGCCACAAATTTGGGCAAATCCTGTAACCATGCCTCAGTTCTCCATCTGTATAATGGGAACAACACCACTCCCCTACATTGCAGGATGCTGCGTGGCTAAATACACAAAAGATAAAACATAAACAACAACAAATGAGTTTCTAAGGTGCTGCAGGACAACAAAAAATATAGATGGTATCATGAGCTTTTGTGGGCACAGCCCACTTCTTCAGATGAATAAAGCAGAAGGTCCAGAAGTACAAATAAAAAGCAGAAAGAGAGGGAAGGTGGGAAGGAAAGAAAAGAAAAAAAATCTTGTCAATTAGCATGTCCATGCTAAGTGAAGCTAAATTGACACGATTTCTTTTCTTCTCTTGCCCTCCCCATCCCCCCTCTCTTTCTGCTTGTTGTTTGTACCTCTGGACCTCTTGCTCCATTCATCTGAAGAAGTGGGTTGTGCCCACGAAAGCTTATGATACTATCTACGTGTTTTGTTAGTCTCTAAGCTGCTGCAGGACCATTTGTATTTTTTAAGTTTTTCAGGTACAGAATCATACAGCTCCCCCTCTGAGGGTATGTCTACACTACCCCGCTAGTTCGAACTAGCGGGGTAATGTAGGCATACCGCACTTGCAAATGAAGCCCGGGAAATTCAAATCCCGGGCTTCATTTGCAAGTGCGGTATGCCTACATTACCCCGCTAGTTCGAACTAGCGGGGTAATGTAGGCATACCGCACTTGCAAATGAAGCCCGGGAAATTCAAATCCCGGGCTTCATTTGCAAGTGCGGTATGCCTACATTACCCCGCTAGTTCGAACTAGCGGGGTAATGTAGGCATACCGCACTTGCAAATGAAGCCCGGGAAATTCAAATCCCGGGCTTCATTTGCAAGTGCGGTATGCCTACATTACCCTCCTAGTTCAAACTAGGAGGATAGTGTAGACATACCCTGAGAGTATTACCCCAAAGATCGTGAGGTGCTATGTTAATGGAGGCCAACAACGTGTGGGTGGTATAGATCTACTTTCAAAAAGTAGGTTTACTCGGCTGTGGTTTGCAGGGCCATGAAAAACTTCATGCCATAATTAAGTCGGCCTAACTGTTGGTATAGACACAGCGAAGGTGGCAGAAAGATTTCTTTCATCAACTTAGCTACCACCTTCTGAAGAGCTGGGTTAGTTGTGTCAATGGGAAAACCTCTTCAGTCGACACAAAAAGTATCAACGCTGCAGCAATGTAGCCATAGCCGCGATGCTGAAGCACTTGTAGAGTTAGACCTAGCCTGTGCTAGAGAAAAGTAAATTGATTTGTGTGTCAGTTTTAATAATGCAAAGTGATTCTAGGAAGACGAGCTGTTTTCTATAATCACTGTCTAGCTGTCTATATGTTTTGCCTTGATAGTGTTGACAGCAGAGAACAGTTGAATCCGAATGAAAACACAATCTGTCCCTTCACTGTTTGTGCTTTTTTTTGGCATATGTCTCCCTTCTTAATGAGGTTGTGCTGAAGACATTTATTCCCCCCGCCTCTAATTACGTTGCAGAGTCCTGAATAACACCATCGCTGGCACAAAGTGGGATAGTTGTTTTCATAGTTTCAGTGTGTGGGGCTAGAAACAGGTTTGATTTTTTACAATGTGTTGGGGTCCAACTAAATGAAGTACAAACATTAAAGGAACTTGGGTCACATTGAACCCCGGTGTAAATTCCCTTATTCCAGAGAGATTCCACACTCCTCCCAGGGATGAATTTGGTGAAGCATTTTCCCGTTAATGAATTAAAGTTGGCGTGACGTTTAGACTCGTGAAAATAGGAAAGCATTTGAAACAAGGAAATGCTAAGTATTTGTTACCACAGCTGGAAACACTCACAGCTGGTTCATGTTTTCCTACCTTGACTGAGGATCAGCTGAGAGAGAGTTTGGCTTTTGTGAGCAGCCTGAATCCTGAGCTTTCATTGTTTCGTTGTAGCTAGAAGCCAAAACATCTTCATTGTACCATGGGCGGCCTTTCTTCTAATAATAATTAAACTCTTCTCAGAAAAATACTTTGGGCCCAGCCCTGCGGTTTTTTGACAGGCTACCCAGCTGTTGACCTCAGTGAGAGGCCTTAAAGAACCTTACTCCATCAGCCCACAAACACCCAGGACATAGAAACCCTGTTTAAAAGCGGATGGAAAGCCAACTAATATTTTACCTAGAAAATGTTGTTAGAAATGACTTCTCCTATGAACCGGGATTGTGAAAGGCTTGAACGATAAAATGTCACAAAAACCGTAAATTGGTGGGGTTTTAGTCCTGAGTTAAGGATCCAAATCAGGAAACGACGTAAGAACATGCTTAACTTTTAACATGTTCTTAGATCCCATTAGCTTCAGCGTCTGGTTAAAGCTTGAGTTAGAGGTGTTTACTGTCAGGGCCATCTTTAGTACAGGTTGGACCTCCCTTGTCCCGCACCCTCGGGACCTGACCACTCCTGGATGAGGGATTTTGCCGGACCAGGGGAAATCTGGCACCCTTGCTACGGACTCCCTGCAGCCCTGGGCCAGCCTCCTGGCTGACTCCCCCTTGCCGCCAGCTTCGCTGCCCTGCTGGTCCCCTCCTTCCTTGCTATTGTGGCATAGTGGGGGGGCTGTCTTCTCTGTCTCCCGGGGTCCCCCTGCGCTGGGATGGGAGATTCTCACTGACTCTCCCAACTGTGTATTAACCCAGACACCCAGGCTCAGCCTCCCAGGGAGGGAGACAAAGGAAGGAGGGGGAAGACCAGCACCTGGCTGGGGGGGCAGGGCTGGAAGAGAGTTGAGTAGTTTCTGTCTGGAATCATGGAGGAAGCAATCTGAGCAAGGGGGCTGGGATTTAAGGGCCCAGGCTCCCCCATCTCAAGGGTGGCTGAGGCATCCTAGGCCTGCCCTGGAACCAGATCCCATCTGTGCTGTGCTGTATCCTGGAGGAGCAATAAACTCCCTCTGTTCTACTGCTGGAGTCTGTTCGTGCCACTACGGGGGTGCAGGAGGCGGGGGAACCCCGACGCGACGTCACAGCTATGCTGGACAACCCAGCTCTCTGCGCGCCAGGCTCCTGGCCTCACCAGGCAGCCCCGCTATGGCACACCGAGCTCCTGGCCCCACCAGGGGCAGCCATGCCGTGGCATGCTGGCCTACCCAGATGCGGGGATACTGGCAGCTAGCTGTGGCAAGCCCAGCCAGCAGCCCTCCACCAGGGCAATCTGGTCCTGGCACATCTGTGGTCCTGCCGGACAACGGATGTTGCCTGACCAGAGAGTCCTGGATTACAGAGGTTCAACCAGAACTATTACACTGGTGCCCTTATGCCTGATGGCAGCCGGGCGGGGGGGATTTTTTAGAGGTGCAAGACACCAATTAAATATTTTTAAAGCATATTTTAAACTAAGGTTCTGTCGACTAACACAGTAAATTCAAAAAGTGAGAGGATGTACCTGGGTTGGCAAATGCCTCTTAAAAAGCTTCATTACCTCTTGACTGGCTCTTTCCCAGGTTCAATGACTGCTAATAGGCCTGGCAGGATTTTTCATTTTAACTAGATCCTCTCCGGAGGAAGCAGAGCCACAGAACAGGGATAGGAAGAGGCAGGTGGGTGGACCTTATGACCCAGTAGTACCCCAAATTTTCAGGGGCCCTAGGCAACTGGTATGCTGCCAAGGACGGCCCTGTTTGCTTTGTTATTGAGGTGAGGAATCTGTAATTGTTCTGGAGTATTTTGCCTTTTGGGCAGTGGTAGGTTCTGTGAATTAAGGTTATTCTGGACATTAATATGCCTAGGGGGGAGGAAAGGGGGAAAGTCTGACATTTTTGTGCTAATGTTTTACCTTTTTATTTTTCCCACTGAAATTTTGAAAATCAAAAGGTCAACCAGATAGTTTGAGCTAGATCAGATTTCGATGGAGAAAAAAAATGTCAAAACACTTGAGGGGGGAAAATCTTTGGTTTTATCAAACTGTAAGAAAAATCTTAGCTCCTTTTTTTAAAAAAAGAAAAGAAAATGATAGCAACTGTAATATCGGACCCCACTAGTTCAGAGACCTGAGAGTCTTACTGAAAGTATTTCAGTAAGGGCAAAGACTGTATCTTAAACTTGTTGGTCTGAAACAGATCATTGGTGTTCTTTAGGATAAAAGCAGCTAGCATGAAAATACAATATGTTTATGTCTTCTGGTTTCCTTTTTCCTTTCAGGCCTTTTTCACAGAGAAGTATATCCAAGAACATCCTGAAGAACAAGATAAAATTGAACTACTTCAGCAATTAATTGCTTTACAGGTACTGTGTTATATGTGTGAGAGATGGATGGTTGTTCCAAAATAAAAATATCGTGCAACACAAAGAAGAGAAGTGTTGTAAGAACACAGTTGCAATGCCACCCAAGACTCCCTTATTTTAAAAAGTACCATGAGATTGTCTAGTGGTGCAAAACACTGCAGTTGCATGATAACCCAGGCTAATCTCCTGTCCACCCCAGTGGAAGTGTAGCTTGGTTAGAACCACGTTGCTTGGCCCACGAACCCCTGTGCATCCAGTCCAGTCAACAGAGCACAGAATATAAATGTTATAAATGATATACAAATCAATTGAAATGGGTCAGAGCTGAATTTTAAAACTACAGGTTGAACCTCTCTGGTCTGGGACCCTAGCCCGGCAATGCCTGTGGTCCAGGCAGGCCGAAGGTCCAGAGCGCAGTGGCTGGGTTTGGCAGCAGCCATGGGGGGTGCCAAATCAGGCGGTGGGCGGCCCCTGGGAGAAGAGGCCAGCAGCAGAAGGGCCAGAATGGACTGTCCCTGGTCCAGCAAACTCCCTCATTCAAGACTGGTCAGATTCTGAGAGTGTCAGACCAAGAAGGTCCAACCTGTAGATGAAAAATGATGAAGTATTCTTCCTAGAAAATGTTCTTCTTTCTTTTTCCTCTGAACAGGATTATAATGCTTTTCTGGAATATGCAGCACTCATTATACCAAAGAGTTGCTCATCACTTTTTCCCCTTTCTGTGATTGTCTCTCTTCTGGGCGCCACATTTCAAGAAAGATGTGGAGAAATTGGAAAGGGTACAGAGAAGAGCGACAAGAATGATTAAAGGTCTAGAGAACATGACCTATGAAGCCAGGCTTCATGAACTGGGCTTGTTTAGTTTGGAAAAAAGAAGATTAAGGGGGGACATGATAGCGGTTTTCAAATATCTAAAAGGGTGTCACAAGGAGGAAGGAGAAAATTTGTTCCTCTTGGTTTCTGAGGACAGGACAAGGAGTAATGGGCTTAAAGTGCAGCAGGGGAGGTTTAGATTGGACATTAGGAAAAAATTCCTAACTGTCTGGGTGGTCAAATATTGGAATAAATTGCCAAGGGAGGTGGTGGAATCTCCCTCTCTGGAGATATTTAAGAACAGGTTAGATAGACATCTGTCAGGGATGGTGTAGGTGGAGCTTGGTCCTGCCTTGAGGGCGGGGGGCTGGACTCGATGACCTCTTGAGGTCCCTTCCAGTCCTATGATTCTATGATTCTCTACCTTACTTTTTTTCGTAATTCTGGCTGTTAAAAAGTCACACACGCTGTCCTGCACAGTACTGTAACAATGACAATCAATAACGACATTGTAATGAAACCACCGCCGTAGATTATCAGCCTGTTCCCGTATATTTCCACGGAATGGAGCCCGGTTAAAGCCGCTTTACAGTTCTGTTGCTTTGGAGCTGGCGGACTCTCCCCACACTTTCCGTTCCCCCAGCTCTCTGCGTGCAATACAGTGTGAACATAAGCGGAGTGGAGGTGAAACGCCTTCCTGACCCCTGCAGCAGTCCGCTTGCACTCAGGAGCATGGGAGTTGATGCTTTACTTTTGTTTGTATTTTTTCTCTTTCATAGCAGGCTGGGTGTCATCGTATGTTGCTCCTTCTTTTAGATGCCTTTGCTGGCTGAGGGGATTAGGATTCACGGTGCGAAACTGACTGAGCAGCTAAAGCCTCTGCATGACAGGCTGACAACCTGCTTCAAGGAGCTGAAGATGAAAGTGGAGAAGCTCTACGGTGTGATAACTCTGGTAAACGTGGCTTGTTTGTTTAGTGCAGCATCTTAAAGAACCCTTCCCCCTTCCCCCCCGCAAAACCACCTTTCTCTTGTGAATAGCATTTCCCAGCTCTTATTTCATACTGTCTGCAGCCTCCCTCCCTGACAGAGAGAAAGCAGAGCAGATCGGGCTCCGTGGTATTACCCTACATCATGTCCTCCACGCTGAGGCGGCTGTCTATCACCTCTGTGACTTCCTCTGTGGTATCTACATCCTCCACCTCGTCTGACAGCACCTCCTCCAGGCCAGGATCTGACGGGTCAGTGACTGTCCCTTTGTGTATTGGGAGTGGGAATCTCTTTTGCTCTTGGAGGTTATTTTAATCTTGCCTCTGCAAGGGATGTGTCTCTGTAACATCCTTTTGCTTTTAAAATGAAGTTTACTGTCACCAGCAAATAATAATCCTTAGTTCTTACAAAGCACTTTTTCTCAGATCCCAAAGAGCTTTAGGATGGAGAAACTGAGGCAGGGGTGACTTATCCAAAGTCACCCAGCAGAAGAGTTGGTAATTGAACCCACGTCGCCCGAGTCCCTGTCTAGCACCCCATCTACTATGCTGCCAAACCATGTGGATAATATGTTCTAGTGAAACCCGCAGCATTTCTGGTCTCCTAAGAGAATCACTGCACCCTAGCACAGTGGTTTTCAAGCTTTTTTCATCATGACCCAGATGACGGAAATTGTTGATGTCCACAACCGAACAGAACTTGACTAAAGTGTGGGTTCCGGAGTATGACGGAGGATGAGAGCTTCAGGTTTGGTGGGAAGGGGCCAGAGTTGGTGCTAAGGCAGCTTCCTGCCTCTCCTGGCACTGCAGACCCTACTGTGCCCAGTAGGGATGGAATAGTGTAATCAGTTAACATATACAAAAGCTGTAAGTTAATGCTATAGACTACAGGCAGTCCCCGGGTTACATGGATCTGACTTACATCGGATCCCTACTTACAAACGGGGTGAGGCAACCCCGCTCTAGCTGCTTCCCCCCAGCAGACCAGGGAGGCGCAAAGCTAGTGCCCCCCCAGCAGACCAGGGAGACGCGGAGCGGCTTTTCTCAGCAGACACCTCAGCTTGAGAATAAAGGACTGAGGGAAGTGAGGTGTGGGAGAATAAAACTGAGCTCTGGAGAAATGTTTGGCTAGAGTTTCCCCTACAATATGTACCAGTTCTGACTTACATACAAATTCAACTTAAGAACAAACCTACAGTCCCTATCTTGTACATAACCCGGGGACTGCCTGTACATGCATTCCCCCTCCACCTGCCAGTAAATTTTTTAGCAGGCTGGCCAGCAACCCAGCTCGCACCAGGTCTGGGAACTACCCCTGTTGCAGCTCTGCATTTAAAGTGTATTAGGAGCTAGGTGGGCAGGCAGCCCAGCTCACTTCCAGCTCATGCCGGATCCAGGAGCTCAGACCCGCCTTAGACAGGGGCTGCTGCCACCCCATGCTGCTGCCTTTTTATCAGAGGCAGGCAGA